ATGGTTTCAGAAAACAAGTATTTTCTCAAAACCCATTAATTCTATTGGAAAAATTCATATTCCAGGAAACAAAGGAGATCCAGGGCTGTAACTTAACTATAACAGGGTGTGTCGATTATGGGTAAAAAAAACAAAAAGATCCTTTCGTAGGTAAATTATTAGCCGCAACTGAAAAACTATAAAACATGCAATAATTTGGTTTAAACAGTATCGTAAATTTTGTGGAAAGTTTCTGGTTTCATCTATCATACGGGGTGCGCGATATATTTGAAAATCGCTGTTATTTGAATTAATTTTTGTATTTACCAAAGTTTTCCGTGACTTTGAAATTCGGCGAGACGTGAAAGTCACTTTATGCACAATAAAATAACATCGATTTTGAAAAAGTTCCATAGTAGTCCGCAGGAGCACGATAGAAAGACAATCAATCCGTCCTTCTAGGACAAAATGACTTTAAAATACAAAGCTGCGCAGATTCGCACAGCCTCGATTTTTCCAAAGCAATCTTGTTTCATTTTGTTATGGTTCAGTCCGTTAAATTACCAGTTGGGTTTTCTGCCGATTAAAGCGTACCAATCTGCTGATGATATCGGTTGTTAAAAAGACATCGGGTACGGATGATTACAGCAAACGTTATCGTAAATCAGTTACAGTTTCCAAATTTATAATTTTTTCCGCTATTAATCACAATGCCAATCAAGCTGCCATCGGCATGTGGCATCGGATAAAGTTGTGATTTATATGCGGCGTCGCTCGGAGCACGTAAAAATGGCGCGACGTGCACTTAAAACGTAATAATATGCAATTTGGGTAGCCGGGACGGTAATGAAATCGGTCGGGCAAAAACAAAAATTTGAATACAAGCGGTCTCCCCCAAATTTGCCGTCGATAATTTCGACTTGATTGGCGGCGTGCGAAAGACCCGGAAAAAAAATTATTGTTTACATAAAATATAACAGTAAAGTGGTGGCTGCGCGTTCGAGTGGCAATCGATGACTCGTGATTGGACGGTGTCTCGACGTAACGTGTTGGAATTTCAAAATTTCCGACGTCCGGAAATGTCGCGGCTCTCATTTCGATTCTCGCATATCTTTTATTTTAAGACTTAAATAACAATAAACAATTAATAATTATTGCGAAGAGCATATAGTTTACATATTTTTTATTTATTATAATTGAATTGTTAAAAACAAATCTCTCCAAATTACATATGTAGAATTATATTAAAATTAAAAAAACCGGTAGTGTAAATACAATAATCTTTGTTCGAAGAAAACATCCGATCTCCCAAATCCGTCAATAAATTGCGGAAATATCCGAAATCATTGAAATATATATTCACAATGGTATTAAAGTTTTGAAGTTAATTGGCATTGAACATCCGTTCCATTTTAAACTAAAACTTCCGTTATTCTCAATGACAAACACCAAATCTCCAAATTAGCAATGAAATTAAATAAGCATCATGTTTCCAGGTTAGGATGGAGCATAAAATTTGTAATTTTGTAGTTTCCTTATTGGACAAATCCTTAATGTAGGGTATTTGATTTCTTAGTATTTTTCTTAGTGTACGTTTTTGCTCGTATGTTAATTTTTAATTTTTATTTGTTTATTCTTCTTCTGTTTTATTGCTGTATAGGGTTAGCAACTTACTAACCAACTGAATTGTTTTACATAAGGAATGCTTTTTTTAAATCGCTATATAATTTTTGTTTTTGTTTTTATTGTTGGACACAACACCAGCTTATATATATATATATATATATATATATATATATATATATATATATATATATATATATATATATATATATATATATATATATATATATATATATATATATATATATATATATATATATATATATATATATATATATATATATATATATATATATATATGAATATATATATATATATATATATATATATATATATATATATATATATATATATATATATATATATATATATATATATATATATATATATATATATATATATATATATATATACACAAAACGGTAGTCGTGACCGGCTAGTTGAACAACAAATTTTAGTTAATTGGGGTATCGTATTAATTGATAAAAGCGTACCATTTCTGGACACTAAAGTGATCCGGAACAACGATAACAAAATTATATTAGATTGGTACATAAAACCGACCAGTTCGGGGAGATATATGAATTTCCACTCTTACCATCAACGAAAACAAAAATAAATTTGGTCATAGCATTAAAGACACGAATCGAGCGGATTTCTCACCCATCACTAAGACAAAAAAAACTTAATAAGCTTTACGACATGCTGATTAACAACTCATACCCAAGTAGGTTAACTAAAAAATTGTTATATAGCACGACCCCACTAAGAGCTCCAAACCCGCGGAACACGGTCGTCCACTCAGATAGCCCAGGAATGGACGATCAGAGATGTTTTTATTTTTCATTGCCATACATTAAAGAATTAACGACCACACTCACAAAAATTCTGAGAGCACAAACAAATATTAAGATAGCATATAAACAAACAAAAACATTGGGGAGTGTCTTTAGCAAACTAAAAGATAAGGATGAGGTACAAAAGAATTCAGAAGTAATTTATAGCATCCCCTGTAATCAGTGTGATCAGGTATACATAGGACAGACATCGCGAGTACTTAAAGATAGAATTACGTCACACAAGAGTGATTGCAGACTCAATAAGAACACCTGTTCATTAGCAACACACTCTAACCAAATGGATCACGATGTTAACTTTGTTGAAACAAAAATTCTCCATAAAGAAAGCAACTACAACAAAAGAGCAACTTTGGAAATGGTGGAGATTTTCTTGGAACCGAAATCGGTCAATAAAAGATCTGACATTGATGGCCTCAGTGTGATCTACTCTAATGTCTTAACTTTACAACCAACCGTCAATCGAATTGCGTTTGCTGATAATAGTGTCGTCACAATGTAATTATAATTTAGAAAAATAGTCCCAAGCCTCTATACATTAGGGCCTTGTAAGCAAAAAGGAGGTAACAAAAAGGGGAAAAAAAAAGAAAGGAAAAAAACTGGACGGCTGGCGGTGGTCATACTAATAAGACCTTTCCATCATTTGCGTTTTGCGGATGAAGTAAAATTCGTTTAAATAAAATGTAATAACAATTTCGTCTAGATGGCTGCCCTCGGTTATAATAATTAACGGTCGTATTTGATTCTTTCTGTTATCCGGATGAGTTTGGTGTTGGCCTATAATGGCACTGTAGCAGTAAGTACTTTAACTATAAGACTTTAGTATTAAATAACTAAGAGCCGCTTTCATATTGTAGCCCCTGAAGAAGAAAATAAACATTTTCGAAAGCTTGGTGTAGCACAAAAGCCTTTTATTTGAGCCCTCATCAGGACCGATACCCCAATTAACTAAAATTTGTTATATATATATATATATATATATATATATATATATATATATATATATATATATATATATATATATATATATATATATATATAATAAGAACGTTGAAAAATTGTACGTTTGCAATCTGCAAAAATTGATCAAATAGTATTCGCACCAACTTAAAGGTGGCCAAAATAGTAATTCCCCCCCTTCAAATCAAATTAAAAGTCGACCAGTTATAAACATTTTTAAATAACATTCCATTCTCTACGACATCATGCAGGCAAGTGAACCCTGTCTATCCCTTACTTAAATTTGACTACTGTGCAAGTTTGTGTTGATGTATTTCTAACCCGTATCTCAAATGGAGGATTGATAAATACTATTTTTTCTTCGATATTTCTCTGAAGACAGTTTGTTTCAATTTTTTTGGTAAGATTCGTTGAAGAATAAGAGTCCTTACGTTTGGAACGGTTAGAGTATTGCCGAGTATTGCCCTTCCCTAATCCTTTTTTAAAAAAATGCAGCACGACAGAGATGGACTTTAGGCGCCTATTCGTTGAAATCGTGTAAAGTTGGTCAATTTACTGTGGATTTGTATAGAACATTTAAAAACACTACATATCCAAACTAATTAAGTTTACAGAATAAATGTATTCTGTAATAGGGTATTGCCAAGTTCTTGTGGCACCCGGTACAGCAGGCGTTTTAAAAAAAAAAGTGAACTGATGGCTTCGCTTAATCAAACTCGTCTCGCTCACAATGCGAGCAGCAGCGATAGCCGTATCCAGCTGTTTAAAATTGGATTATTTTTAACGACTGAAAAAGTAAGCTCGTCGCCATTCGGACAATACTTATCTCCTTCTGTTAGGGTAAACAATGGCGAAATGCAAAAGAGACGATTCAGTGTCAAGCTTCGGACAATGGATCATTAAGTATTCCGCTGCACGTCCGATTTCGCGAAGGGGTCCCGGGAAAAATAACAATGGCGGCAGGTTTTGCAATTGAGTTCAGATGCGAACCGGGAGATACTAAAGAAACGGACAATAGGAACGTCGGTCTTTGATTAATTAGGTGGTCCCTTTTCTTGAGTCAAGTTTTTTCTTTTGCGCAAACGTTTCGTTCACCGGGATGGGGTTGGTACATCGGTGAATAAAATTAAAAGGTTAAGGGATTTTTCGGCGACTGAACCCCCCCTCCCCCTCAAAGGGCATCATCGGTTTTCTGGTTTGCCGAATAAAGTTCTCGGCAACGTCTCAACAGGGAAGACGCTAATTTTATAGTAGCCCCATAAATGCGAGGGAGTAGTAAAAAATGGTCTAAAGACTGTGCCGAGTGGTGGATGGTCAATGTTAGGTTAGACGTTTGTGTAAACCGATTTTTTTTCCATGAAAACAATTTTGTGATATTATTATTATAGAAAAAAGGATTCATCAAACCTCGCTATCATAAATTCAAATTTTAAATCTTAGGCATCCGACTTAATTAAAGTTTAAGTGGTGTTATCTTTTGCAGACAAAAACACAATTTTCTTTAACCGTTCTACATAGATATAGGAAGGTAGGTTATGAACAAAAATAATTAGAATAAGGAAAATTTAATTACATGTAGGGTACTCCATTCAGGAAATAACAAATACAATGATGGGCCTCCCCTATTATGCGAAGAATAACATCCGAAGCCCAAAAATACAACAAAAAAATATAGAGATTGTAATTTTAATTTCAAAATTTTAGGTTGTTTCCGTCAACCCGGAAATAACCAAATCAATATCAATTCGCTATTTTGAACCCGTTAAAATTTTTAACGTTACCACCTTTTTACTCTTATCATACATGAAACCAAACACAACCCCAAATTTGTTATTTTCCAGTCATAAATCGTCATGCTTCTGCGACGCCTGGTTAACTTGACCTTCTTTAACGACGAACTTGGCAAAAATTCCCGCGACCAGGTTCAACGTGCCGAACAAAAAGAAGTACCAGCTGAAGCCGATGGACCTCGACAGCTTCAAATACACGTTAATTGACATAAATTTGTTCATCCACGCACAACCTACGTTCAATGCGACGAAACCGTGTTTCACATTGTACGGAAAGACTTCCGAAAGCATTATCCAAGGCACTGGACCGAACCCGACATTAAATGCTAACGAATATACGATCAGCGAGAGCAATGGGAGAAACGCAACACGCGATACTTCCAGATTGTGCTCGTTTAAATAGGCGTACACCCCTAAACTCGCCTGAGATAAACTCATGGCGAGGGCGGACACAATCAGGAGCAATTTCCTTCTGTAGCTGGCGACGACAGCAGGAATCGCCAAACTTGACAGTAGATGTATCGCGCTGACGATTATCGCCGACAGTTCCGGCGATGTGGCATTCTGGAGAACCGTTTGCGTGTAAAACAACACAGCGTACACTCCGGAGAACTGCTGGAACAGCAAGAGATTGGAGACTACGAAATTGGAACTTTTAACTTCTTTCGATTTTATTTCTTTCCACACATTGTCGATGCGTTTGACGTGGACGATATTCTTGATGTCGTCGAGCTCTCCGTCGACATCATCATCGTCGCGGAGGTATCGCAACGTTACCCTGGCAGAGTTAAACTGACGTTTAGTCACGTGGTAGTATGGTGATTCGGATCCGACGATCAGAAATGTGACGCCAGTTACTATTTCCAGGCAGAGCAGCGCAATGTTTAGGTGACTGTAACTGAGGTGCGGGATCAGTACATGGTAAACGAATGTCCCCAAAGTTATTAGCACGTTGAGGAAGCTAAGCGCCACGTGGCGGTAATCCTCCGGGCACAACTCCCCGATGTATATCACCAGAATCGTAAATGATCCTCCCACAACGGTAGATGCCACGAAAGCCGACATGCACAGAGGTATGACATTGGTCGCAAATATCGTCGTCAAGTAGGAGCAGGATAGGGGAAGAGCGAGGAATAACAGGCTCCGTTTTCTTCCCACGCGGTTTACCGTAAATCCAGCCAGTACCGCGCCCAGTACCAGCCCGACCGACAAGTTTACGATCCAGGAAAATTCTCCGATATTGGCGTGTAATTGGCTATAAGTCGCATTCAGCTTCTTGTAGTCCGACAGATCCCATGACGAAAGACCGGTACACGCGCTGAGAACTACCAGGCTACCTGCAAAGCGAAACGGAAATGAAATCTTCATTGGGTCATAGTTTAGGTGTTGACATTAATAACGATTATTATAGAAACGAGGTGAAAGAGGATTAATATACAAATCATCACGTGATGAAATGGATTAATCGTATGATCTAAATAGCAACCAGTAACATCGCGGTATCAGTTTGAGAAACTTTCTGAAATATTTTTCCATTTTATTTGGAAGATTTAGAGGAAGATTAGAGCAGCTATGTTCCAAGCTATTTGTTAGACCAATATTCGAGGAAGTCGCTTTCTAGGGAGGAGCTCTTGGGTTTACTGCTCAGTAAGGTATTATTACTGAAACACTGATGATTTTATAATCAAATAAAAGAGAAAAAAACATTTTATATTATTTGCGAAAATATGTAGCTAGCGTTGTGGTAATCCGAGTAAATGTCGTTTTATGAATTTTCATATTAAAGCCTGATTTTATTTACTTTTTTTTATTTCCGATTTTTTTTATAAACCCCATTAAAGCAATTGATTTTTGACAATCGAGACACATCAGTCGCCACTCTCACAGGTTCCCTACATTACTTTAAAAAATTTATTCTGGGCGTTATCAAGTAAAAAATATATCTAATCAAAAATTAACTAACTCAAAAAATTTCTTCAAAGATCCATGGTGTCCTTTACGTTCATTCATAGCAACGTGTCATGGTTCAAAGGGGAATTTTCAAAGAAAATCAGAAACAAGAAATGCTCTTATGTTCGTTATTTCTAACCACAAATTCGATTAGAAAACCAAATAATTTTTTTCCACAACGGTGTAAACAAATCAACCTTTTAGATATCATATATACACATGCATGTTACATACATAATCAATGTCCACAACGTCATCCACACGAAGTTTCGACGAATTTTGAGCAATTAACGAGCATTGACCAAAATCCGTGCTAAACAAACGCCTATATGTATAACAATCCTTGTCGTACCTGTCACTATACTCAAAGCAGCACCTCGAAACATTCTCTGCACGAAACACTGTTAGGCACTGCAGCGCGTATACGATTTTGATAAACCGAATGAAGATTTATGAGCCTCTTATCGGTTGACAAAAAGAAAATAAAGCCGGTCAACAATATGTCGTCATCTTCGACTGACTACAAGCTTAATTAGCCGGAAAAGTCAAGTGTTATCGACCCATTGGTCGCGCTGGCACATAGGTTCATACAGGGTGTTTCCTAATCTAAATTTATTAATAATGATAAACATGATTGGTTTCTTATCCAGAAATATTTTCAATACAATAAATTTATTTAAGTGAGATGTGCTTTCAATTTTTTTACCAAATTATATTCGTATTAAACTTCCGGGTTCGTACTGTCGAAACTGGCATTAAATTTTGACCCCCGTCACCCAGAACTGACCATTTTTTGCAAAAAATCTTTAACACCAAAAGAATGTAGCGCTGGACTGTAACACGAATAAACATTCCGTTTGCCTCTGTAATCGAATCTGTGATGCGGCGAAAAACACTCTTGGGATGATGTAGGTGAATAAAAAAACTCTCTTCTCTTCGTTGCTTGCTCGTCGGTTCTATCGTGCAATAATTCATACCACGTGTAGTTGCCTTGCCGGTGTCGTATTATAATAAAATACGACGGGGTCTCAGGAAACACCGCCGCTCGCAGTGCCGCCGCTGGGAATTTGCAAATTAATTCTTTGTTGCAGTACAGAAAGTGCTACGCCAACTACGGCAGGTTCGCTGGGCAAAAACGGATTCAAAATTAACAATGCCCAACATTTAAGCAAGCTGAAATCTCAATGCCAGTTTATTTCCCTAGGGGAAGTGCGTTGTTGGTTAGAGAAAATTTTGGACTCTCACCAGTTACCAGAATATTGCACGCCCTCATTGAGCATTGACTTTTCTTCAATTATTAAGCCTTCACTGCCGAAGATACTTGAAATTTCAATACAATCATACAGCGAGTTGAAGATTACTTGCAAATTATATCTGCCATGTAAGTTGCAAGACACAATTTTAATTTTTTGTAAAGGAACCTCTGAATTTGCTGTTCTGAGCGCACTGAGCCCTTTTGAATTTAAATATATTGATTTTGGTACTTTAAACTGGCGTTTTACGGGTGACATTATTGTGAATCGCTGATTCAGCCTGCTCGGCAAAAGGAACTTCAAGTTCGACCATTGCCCATTTCTCGAGTGAAACGCTTAAATAGTCCCGCGTGTGACTTGCCTCTACTGGAAATTTTGTGGTGGCGAAGTAAAGAACATTAACTAATGTTCCTATAATCATTCTATTCAGGAACTAAACTGAAGGCACTCGTTCTTTCTTCTTTAAGGACAATGCTTCAAACTACTGCTTTTCCTCCCAATAAAACAAAATTTCTAATAAATTAAAATTGGTGCGCCAATGAATCCCCGATCTCGTCGCCAGTTTGCGACCCGCAGATGCGGGCATTGAATCCTTTAAAATACGAAGAAATTGTTTTACAAGGCTTAAAATTTAATATCGCACAAATCTACAAATGGATATTTATTGAATGGTTTGGGTGGTACATACCGTTCCCACGAACATGGGTGACCATGTCACCGTCGCATCGTCTGGCCACCAAATAGTAATTTTGGGTCATGTCGTTAAGTTAAACTGGATACAAGTTCACTTGAAGTTAGATGAAGCGGTCTTAGCCCTCTAGAGGTACGCGGTTGATGTAATCAGTGAACACTGCTTATGATGTTTTAATAACGCCCATTTTAGTTCTTTATCACGTAAGACCTTCTCTCCAAGATGTCCAAAAGATAAAGTCGCATCTATAAAATATCCCGACGTGACATTCATGCTTTTGTTAAAAATATACTTATAATGTTTTTTGTCTTTCTCTGCCCCATGAAGAAAAACAAAATATACAAGCAGCACATCAAACTGTTCAGTATCTATTTCCAGTCCTAAGAATGGGCTATCAATTTTTTAGCTCAATGCTTTATATTTAATAACCCCGTCCAACTGAATCAGTTGTGTTTCGTAGAAGATACAGAACAATTGTTGGTAGTGCTGGAAAATATAAATCAGCATTTCATGACCTTCAACTGCAGTTCTTTCGCCAAGTGCTGAATAGAGATGTTCATGAAAAAAAACAGTTTCTTCCAATGATCAAAAATAGTATTTGAATAATAAAACAACTCATTGCTCATGGCGCCAGCGCTCAAACAGTTTCATATGTATATTAGTGTGATCTGTAGTTGCACTTGAAATTATTTTTTTTCTATAATGCTAATTAAGAAAGGATGCTAAAAAATTTAAAAACTCTACCACCTATTTTTTTTTGTGCTCTAATATAAACTTGCAATGAAATATGTGTTTATTGTTATTTGCGAAATTTATGAATGCTTAACATTTCAAATAAGATTTTTTCATTTTTATTATTTTCCCACTGCTTCACTACTCTCACTGTTACGCGAGCTATCCCTACTAGTTTCGAAATAAAAGTCCTATTTCCACAGTATGTGAATATGTCTTTAAATTTGAGTGCCTTGCTATATGATAATGTGCTGAACTTGATGTTTCCATGTTCGGTAAGGCTCATGTAGATTCAGAATTAGGCAGTACTGTTTCTTGTTGCAGTTGACGGCCAGAAATAAGGCATGTACTTGGTTAGCCTTTTTTTGCATTAAATTTTGAGGACACTAACAAACAAGTTTCGGTTAAAAAATCGTTAAAAATTATTTTAGCTCAATTTCATGGTCGCTGGGGCTCATTAGCCAGTGAAATCTAAAAAATGGTGAAATTTTCTATTGACTAGGTTTGCTAAAATAGGCAATTGTGTAGAAACAGTTTTCTGTCCTTGCCAGAAATAGGTGAACACAGAAACAAATTGTATGCTGCATTAAAAGGGTGTTTACCCAAGAAACGCTGGCACGCTCATTTTTCCAGCGGCGTGTTAGAAAACGAGCAAAAATAGGATTTTGTTGTTTCTACAGGCCGGGTCAGAATGCCACAGAAGATGGCGCACGGCTGGAAGCGTCCCATTATGGGACTTGCCGCTCTCTAATAAATTATCAAAGATTTATTCACACTGTCTCCCCGCTTGTAGTTATGAAACACTGTACGCGTTTGTCCGCTGATATTTTTCTTATTTATTAATACCAGTCCTGGCCAAATGAAATTTTTGATTTACGGGTTAGGCCACCTAAGACTGGCGGCTATTTTTTATTTTCGTTTCTAATATTACTTGGCGTGTTGGTATTTATATATACGGATCTTTAGATACATCGGTGGTGCGATTCTCATTTTCTAAAACATAATTATTATAGCAGCGTCATAGCGTATTTATTTGTAAGCCAGCAGTAATAAAAAATTGCTTTTCTGCTGTCGGTTGTAAAGTTTTGAAAAATAATGATTCCAGGAATACGTAGTACCGGTTCACTTCCTAAACTAACAAATTCACAAACAAAATAGAAAACAAACACACCGAAATCCATCGAACTGTGTCAACTAGACTATGTCAACATAATATCGCATTCTGAGACAAAAAGCTTTTTCTGTTTGATCTGAATTTGCTGACAGTAAGATTCTCATTTATTAAACACTCGCTCCGCTGCGCTCCGCTCGTGTCAATTAAATTCGTGAATCAAATGACGTTTACCGCACTTGTTGCATAATATACTATTTTTGTTATGGAATTCCTGTCAAGAAAGTATTAAGCTTTTGATCAAATGAAAAATTAAAATATTATTAATATTAAAAATAATAATAATACCGGCCCAAAAGAAAATGCTGGAAATTATTTTAGAGTTCCTTAAATGGCCAATATAATGATATATTTTTTAATACTCTTTGTTCTAACTCTGTAAAGAAAGTGGTGGGGATGTTCGAACATTTTATTAAATTAATTTATTACATAAAAAGGGCTTATAATAACCGCGGTATGAGTGACGCGATCGCCACCTTGTCACCAGGTGGCGAATTTTCTGAGAAAAAACAGGATCTCAATATCTTTGCCCTAACCTAAACTATTAATAAAAGAACTTAACGCGCAAAGAAAAGTTGCTTTTTTGGGAAAATTATCCAATTTAAGAAATGTTAATATCTAAATAAAGCGAATTTATAAAATAAAACTTACTTTTCCCAAAACTCCTGGATTTCCCCTGCGTCTGCCTTTACTGAGTCGAACTTGCTGACGTTTGGCCAATCATCCTGTTGGCTTCTTCAGAGCTTGACTGAAACTGAAGTTTCACATTTTTAAACAAAATGGCGCAGTCGGTAGGATCCTTTTCGGCGTGTTTTTGGAAAACTAGGGCGCTGGATTTGGATTGTCAGTGCATTGGATCTTCGGTACGACAAGCTTCACTTTCAACGGTAAAGAAAAGGACTCCAGATCTATTACCCAGAGCACTTGGGACTCCTGCACCATCGACTATCGGCACGCCGTTCGAGAACCAGTAGGGCGAATTGGTCTAACCCAGGGTCCACCACAGCAGTACCACAGTTAGAAAGTGCATCTCTCCGACGAACGTGTTGTTTGATACAGGATCGAAACTAGGAACTTATTGTAAGTTTTTACCGAATTGTTCCTTATAGTTGTGACTCCTGTTAGTTAAGAAGTAAAGTTTTTGGTGAACATTTGATAAACAAATTTAGAAATAGATTATCGGATATCACTTATCTTCGACGAAATAAATTAACAAATAATCAACCGCGAGATGTAGACGATGTATATTCTAATATTTCTTTATTATATTGTATAGACGAAAATAATTATATTTCCACAAATCAGTCAGTTTGCTAAAAACTTTTGATAGTACACCATCCCGTTTGGATTTTTTACGCTAGATATTTTACTAACGATATATCGCAACAAGAATATGTTATTTTGGCAATTAAATCAGAAACACTAGGAACAGCCGAAGATTTTTTATTAACTTTACCAGACCTTACAACTTGGGCCGAGATAAGATTAGCTTTAACGCAAAAATGCAGTGATCCAATCACTCGGGCGAATCTTCAGCAACAATTAATATTTTTCTCTAAGAAAAA